GCTAAATATCATCTCATTTAATTCTCACTTGTAGCATTCAAATGGGGTAGGATATATTTTCTTTCTTTTTTTTTTTTTAAGACAAAGTCTCACTTTTGTCCCCCAGGCTGGAGTGCAATGGCATGATGTCAGCTCACTGCAACCTCTGCCTCCTGGGTTAAAGCGATTCTCCTGCCTCAGCCTCCCTAGTAGCTGGGATTATAGGTACCTGCCACCATGCCTGGCTAATTTTTTTATTTTTAGGAGAGACAGGGTTTCACCATGTTGTCCAGGCTGGTCTGGTACTCCTGACCTCAGGTGATCTGCCTGCCTTGGCCTCCCAAAGTGCTGGGATTACAGGCGTGAGCCTCCATGCCCAGCCAGTTTTTAAAAATAGTAATATAATGTGAGCTACATGTTTAACATTTTTGGTAGCCAAATTTTTAAAAAGTATAAAAAGAAATATTGCTGGGGAGGCTGAGGCACGATAATTGCTTGAACCCAGGCAGCGGAGGTTGCAGTGAGCCGAGATGGTGCCACTGTACTCCAGCCTAGGTGACAGAGTGAGACTCTGCCTCAAAAAAAACCAAAAGAGGCCTGGAGCAGTGGCTCACACCTGTAATCCCAGCACTTTGGGAGGCAGAGGTGGGTGGATCATGAGGTCAGGAGTTCAAGACCAACATGGCCAAGATGGTGAAACCCGTCTCTACTAAAAATACAAAAACAATTAGCTGGGCATGGTGGCAGGCATCTGTCATGCCGGCTACTCAGGAGGCTGAGGCAGGGAATTGCTTCAACCTGGGAGGCGGAAGTTGCAGTTAGCCAAGATCATGGCGCTTCACTCCAGCTCGGGTGACAGAGCGAGATTCTTGTCTAAAAAAGAAAAAGGGCCGGCTGCGGTGGCTCACACCTGTAATCCCAGCACTTTGGGAGGCCGAGGAGGGAGGATCACAAGGTCAGGAGATCAAGACCATCCTGGTCAACATGGTGAAACCCTGTCTCTACTAAAAATACAAAAAAATTAGCTGGGTGTGGTGGGGCGTGCCTATAGTTGCAGCTACTCGGGAGGCTGAGGCACAAGAATCACTTGAGCCCAGGAGCAGAGATTGCAGTGAGCCGAGATCGTGCCACTGCACTCCAGCCTGGCAGCGAGACTGCGTCTCAAAAAAAATAAAAATAAATAAAAAAAAAAAGAAGAAAAGAAAAAGAAGAAAAAAAAAAATTGTGAAAAATATTTTTTGTTAAACCTAAAATGTTATCACCTCAACATTTCGTTGTTTTGTTTCCTTTTTTTTTATATGAAGTATTTGAAATCCAGGATGTATTTTACACTCACAGCACATCTTGATTTGGACTGCCACATTTCAAGTGCTTAATAGCCATATGTGGCTAGTGGCTGCTGTGATTGTATAGCACAGCTCCAGAGTTTTCTTTATAGTGATTTAAAATCATTCCATTTGATTGGTGATATGTTGTCTCTCAGGGGAAGAGCAGAACATTTGTTCATGAATTTGGATTGCCTTATTTACCCAAAAGATTTTTTTGGCCATGAGCATTGCCCTGTGCTTGTAGTATTCAGCTACTTGAGAGGCTGAGGTGGGAGGTTCACTTGAGGCCAGGAGTTTGAGATCAGCTTGGGAAACATTGTAAGACCTTGTCTCTAAAAAAATTTTTTTTAACTAAAAAAAACATTAACGAGGCATGGTGGTGGTATGTGCCTATAGTCCCAGCTACTCAAGAGGCTGAGGTGGGAGGATTGCTTGTGCCCAAGAGTTGGAGGCTGTCGTGAGCAATGATTGCCACTGCACTCCAGCCTGGGCAACAGAGTGAGAACCTGTCTCTTTAAAAAAAAAAAACAAAAACTGGCCGGGCGCGGTGGCTCAAGCCTGTAATCCCAGCACTTTGGGAGGCCGAAACAGGCGGATCACGAGGTTAGGAGATCGAGACCATCCTGGTTAACCCGGTGAAACCCCGTCTCTACTAAAAAATACAAAAAACTAGCCGGGCGAGGTGGCGGGCGCCTGTGGTCCCAGCTACTCGGGAGGCTGAGGCAGGAG